GCAGATGCTTAGACTACTGAACTATGTCCCTGGTTAGATTTCTAAACTTCTGTGCAAAAATATGTAATTTTTTATTCATATTTTAAAAATATTTTTTATTTTTTTAATGTTTTTCTCCATATTCTGTAGAGACTTAAAGTTTAACATATCAATACTACACGGAAGATACCTGTTCCATGTTGTGCATAAGATGTTTGCTATTCAGACAGATAGTGAGGTTAAAGCCAACTGTATATGTTGTAGGGTAATAATAAACTTCTCTTCTGGAGGGTTAACAAACTAAATTTGCAGACCAAAAATTAGAGAGAAAAAAGGGCTGCAAGGACAGCCAACATTTTGGCCCTAGCATTTCAAGGTCAGTGAAGACTCCGGACATAGCAAAACTTACACTGTAACGCCATGTAACTTAGGTGTGCTCCAAATTTTCTGATCAAGGAGATTATGGGGCCACAGCGCAATGTGATTGATGACATAGAATGTGCCTAAGGAGAGTCACATGGAGAGAAAACATTCTCTCAGGCTTTCACAGAGAGCAAAATGGTCAAGCAATGGCTATGACTCATCCACATGGCTGACACTGACAAAGGATCTACAACCTGTGGTACAGTGTTTCAGGATAAATCCTGAAGGGATTTGACCGACCTTATCAGACACAAAAGCTACATTTCTTGTTATATAGGTCTTGCTTTGTCTTGGTCTTAACCATCCAGCAGAAAAGTATAAAAACAAGGTATAAAAAGTAAAGCCATATTAATATGCTGAGCTGCGAAAGGCTCAGGTCAACAACTTCTGACATTGCCAGTCCTATGGATAACCCACTACTATTATGGACTACTGGACTATATTGGGTTATTTTGCTGAATTCACATACCTACAATATTTAAATGGCAATAAATACCCATATCTAACAAAACTAAACAAAAAGGGGGATACAAAGGAAGGACCATTTTGTATCTGTATATACAAAATACTTAGGATAGATATACATCTACTTTCTTTTAATTCAATGAATAGAAAGATTTGTTCTAGTAGTGTTTGGACAGGATATCATGTCAGCATCTTGTACTATGAATAACCACTAAGAAGATAAAAATATGCAATGTATTAACTATTGAAACTATCCTACTAATTGGTTTTGAAACTGTCTCACTGCTGTTTCTCAATAAAATTAATAAAAAAAACCTTTCCCTCCCAAAACAACAAAACAGCACCCTAGGACACTAGTACCATTAAAAGTGTGCAAAGCAAAGAACATTTTTCTTTCATGACAGGCACACTGCTGGCAAGCAAGCTACAGCCTGGAGGGTCACAAAGAACTCAACACGTTCACGGTGGCAGAGAGGGATACAGTAGCTGAATGGAGTAGCTGTGAGACTGAAAGACCCAGAAGCCTAAGTATTTACTTTTTGGCCTGTACAGATCTCTCTGGCTCACCAACTCAGAGGAGAGGATAGCAAAGGCCACTGGGTTGAGTGGCCAGATGAGCTGGCTATGGATTCTTTACCAGCAGCCACCAAAGCCATTCATGAATGGGACCCAGAGAGTCTGAGCCAGAGGTGAAGGAAAGTATGCTAGTCTGTCTTTGCAGGTGGTCTGAAGATAGGTTAATCTAATCAGCTGTTCCTATAGTGTTTCTCCAAACAAATGTGAAGTTCAGGGTGGATACTGGACTCAGTCACCTTCCCTGGTCAAGACACAGAATAGATGCAAAGAAAATATCCCTTTTATCCAAAATTATGACTGAGAGAGAGAGAGAGAGAATGTGTGTGTGTGTGTGTGTGTGTGTGTGTGTGTGTGTGTGTGTTTATACATACTAAACATGGTTTGGGTTAGAAACAAACATTTTGGAAAGGATGTTACCAAGTTTATCTTCCTTTGGTCTTTACACCAGATTTGGGTTCAAACTCTGGCTCCTCCTAACAGCTCTTTCAGCTTGGAAACCTTATCTCCTCTGAGGAGATACCACGCTAAGCTCTTGTGCTTTTGTATGTAAGACTCTAGCCAACAGCACAATACTGTGCTTGTATCTCTTAGAAACACACTGCACACTGCGATCTCTCACGTGAAATGAGTCCTCAGCTGATTAGCTGCTGGAGCTCGGCCACCATCCGTATTTTCTCCAACACAAAGGCCTGTCTTAAACTTTTCTGTAGAGACTGATCTTAGCATTGTGGAAAGAAGCCAGCCCACATAGTGAGAGAGGCCTCCGCCAGGCTGGGTGTCCCAGAAATGGTGCATGAGTTCATTATCGGGAACAGAGGAGACAACCAAAGCAGGGCCTCTGTCAGGGTGCTGCTGACTCTGGAAGTGCTGTGATTGCTTCTTGATCCAGCCAGCTCCTAGGGTTGGTCATTAGGGCTCGCCTACGTGTTTCTCGTCCTTGAACACTCAGTTCAAACCTACCATTCTGCCGGACTCCACTGGGCCTCAGTCACCTGTCTGCACGCTTACAGTGCTCTAGGTATAACGAAGATTTATCTGAAACACTGCACCCTCATGTGCTTGACTCCCACACAGTCCAAAATCTCTGCTATGGATAACCTCTGTTTTTCCTCTTACATGCAAGAACCTTACACAGTGTTTGCCCTGTATTACATATCTTTCACTATTTCATTTTTACATTCTACTCTGAAGATAAACAATGTTATTTTAATATTTTAAGTGAAGAAAATAGGTACACTGCTTAAGTAGCATGTCCAAGGTCACAAGTATTTAATGGTTAGAGCAGAACCAGATAGTCTACCCCTGACCTCTCTCTTGGACACAACACTACTTTGCCACACAAGTCAACAACAATGTTTGACAACAAATCCACACAAACATGTGGCCTTCAAAGAAAAGGAATAATCTTAAGGCCTCAGAAGTCTAAGAGTTATGTCAGATCTTAGGCAAAATTTACTAAAACATAACAATAAGATTAGAGTTGCCCATGGTGTGAAATCCACGTGACGCCTGAGGCCTCTCTCAGCCTGAAGCGCTCCAAGAGCATTTGTGGAACGGCTGTTTTACTCATCAATGGTTTGCTTCCCGCACACTTCCACCTTGGGAACGGAGCCTCCAGAGTGCAGCCAGTGTACTTTGCTTTAGTTTTTCTCGTGAAAACCACTGTAGACAGTCTGTACCCTCACACACTGTTCTTGAAATAAAGGATTTTGCAGCCTGCCAATCTGCTCTGCTGAAGCAGTAAGCATCATTAGCAGCAGACACAATTGCTGAGCGCACCCTGACCTGGGCGGGGTTCAACATGGACAGAACTATTTTAGCTCCTTGTAAAAGCACTGACTATTGAAAATAAAAGAAAAATTAAGCCAACAGAGACAGGAAGTTCCATAACTAAGCTGAACTTGAATAACTCTGTTTACAGAACAACCTTGGGTGGGGAGTTGAGTCCATTGTATCCCATGGGAAGTACGCTGAACGTGAAGGACTGCAGCTCAAGTGGGACAGAATCTGAGGCCTGAGAGGCACTGCGCAGGTCTCCATGGATCACAAATCACAGCACGTGAAAAAAGCAGCGGAGTAGCTGAGTGTAGTTCAGCGATTCAGCACTTGCCTAGCAGCGCAGGGCTCTTTGTTGTGCACCCAGCACTGCTATACCCAAGACAAAGCAGAACAATCCTATATTGTAACATCGTGATAACATGCTGACATGGTAATATTAAATAGGTAAAACAGTTACGTGGGCTTGCCAAGATAATATTTTAAATTTTAAGAAAAATTGCCAAGTAGTAAAATAAGATACATTATTCGACATTAATAAGGGTGCAGCAGATCTTTGTCCTGCTCATTTGTCAGTTCCTTTAGGCACACGTCCACCTGCTGCCCACCGTCCAGCACTGTGCCTTAGTCGATGCAGTCCTGCCGGAAGCGTGAGGTACTCTACCAGCCCCAGCTCCTCCCACGGAAGCCAGCGGCCTCTTTGGGGGACCTGGCCTCCCAGGAACCAAGCTTATGCTCAGCGGAAGACTTGCACTCCCGAGGACTCTGGTGTGAATGCAGAATGTGCTTCCGCTCCTCCAGCTGACAGGGTGTGCCGGGCACAGGCCGCCCACGGGCTGCTTGCTGGGCTGTGCGCTCGGCTCCTGACCTGGCCCTCAGCCCTGCATGCTTGCCCTGCCTGCTTTCTTCCAGTGGCTCCCCCTCTTTGTCTGTGGTTCCAATTGTTTCAGTTATTTGCTCCCAAAGCGTAAGTGCTGGATGCCAGCTGAGCAGGGAAACTGAGGAAACCCCAGGCTGTTCAAGTTGCCCCGTGAGGCCACAAGCGAGGACAGAAGTAGAAGAGAACAGAGTCTGGGGCCCTGGGGAGACGACAGCAGGTATGGCCATGCCTAGAGAGCCAAGTGAAGGTCACCGCTACATGACTTGAATGGGGCAGAGCAGCCCTGGGTCCACCAGGGTGAGCAATGGTCCCAAAGGAGGTTCTTCCTTTAAGTCAGGCTTGAGGTTCCAGTTGATATTGTTATATTAAGAAACAGCTTGTATACCAAGAAAAACTTATAAGGACATGAAGAAGTTTCTTGTTTTCTGACTCAGAATAACTGTTCAAAACAGAACACTCAGATCACAGACCACAACTTAACACATGGAGTGTTCTAAAGAAACATGCGCACGTCCCTTCCCTTCTCCACACTCACCTTTCCCACCCACTTGGCTGAACTGAGAAATCACACTCATCTGCTTCATTTTGTTTATGGCTGATTTTATAGCTCAGCTCATCACTAGGATTATTTCCATCTGAATTCACAGGGTGAAATGCTTTCCCATGGGTCTTATTTCCATAAATTCACTTATAACGAGCCCATGTTAAATTTTATATAATATATTTACAACATCTAAAGTTAAAACTAAAAATAAAGTTATATCTTCCATTTAGAACTCTATAAAAAGTAATTTTTGGATTAATGAACACTTCCAGATCCATGTTATCTCCTTTCTTTGGCAATGAACTTGTAAGGAAAGAGATAAATGGGAAGAACACCGCTTCAGCCGCTGGCTCATACCTGAACAGGGCCTCTCGTGACAGCCAGATTTCGTTCTGTTTCACAGTTTTCCAGGAGAAGAGCAGCAGCAGCAACACCATGCATGCGGTCAGGGTGGTGGCTCCACAGCGATTCAGCCAGGCACCGAGCTTGCTCAGTCCATGCACAAAGAGGATGCAGTAGCCCATGCTGCAAAAACAGGGCAGGAGACAGCATTACTGTAGGTGCAGAGGACACTCTGAGCTTGCAGTCCCATGTAGCTTTCTAACGAAGCTTCCCCAAGCTACATGAGCAAAGAAAGTCTCATCTCATGGTCTAAATGGATTCTACGGCTCAGACTTGCTCATATCACTGGATATGGTTTTTGGGATCATGAGCCCAGATCTGGATGGTACAGTGAGTCCTTCACAGCTCTGTGGGCGGCATTCTCGGAGGTTCACTATCAGGATCTGGGCAGGATGCTGATCACCAAGGGTGCTGATCTACTTCCAGGGACAGGCTGCAGGCTAGGTCTCTGATGCAGGTCAGCAAAAGCCCTTCTGCTTGGAAAAGCCACCCAGAAGGCAACCCCTGCACTACCCAGCTCCGAGCTTGCTCCAGACAAGCGGTACCGACAGTGTTTAGTCTGGCTCTGTGACAGGCTCAGAGCTCATGCACTACGCCAGACGCACCAGTGCCACATCCCTGAGAGTTCTATCTTGGGGGAAGATGGTCTCTCACTCCAGCCACAAGACACTCCATAGAGAGGTGTCTTGGCCCCTGAGCAGGTGCAAAAGAACATGAATTTATTTTGTACCCGGAACTGCTGAGTTTATTTTAGCCAAAATTTGCTACTTTCAAATGATGTTAACGTCTAATTATTAAAGTATCTAAAGCATGTAGCATGCTTGCATAAAGCAACCCTAGACACTAATAAGACACTAATACTATGCAAAGATCTAAATAGATACAGTCCATGTGCTCGCTCAGCTATCTGTTTGCTCTTTCTCTTGTCGTGTTCTAGAAGACCCTACAGATACAAAGGGCAGAGCACAAGCCAGGCTCTCAAAGAACTGCACTCCAACGAATCAAGCCAACCTTGTAAAAGGAGACAAGTAAATATTCTCATCTCTAAATACATCTTCTTTGAAAGAGCATCCCTCTGCAGTTGGATCTCCTTTCCAAGTGTGTGTGCCTCAGTATGAAGAGTACAAAATAAAGTAGAGCCTTTCAGCTTCTGACCAGCAGCCCGGGCAGTTAGGCAGAGCTGTTTCAGTCTCACATTCTGTTGGGTGGACCAGCTCTGTAAGTATCTGGGCGCCACTGTTGGCTAGGTAAGTCCTCATCCTACTCACTACTGTGGATGAGCGTCTGACTAAGGAGACCCGTGTCCCCTCGCCTCACCCTGAGGCCTGGATTCAATGCCAGAGAGCCTTACAGAAGCTGTGCCACGATGAAGTCCCAGTGTAACCTCCCCCACCAAATACACCAAAGCTCTTCCACCACTCCCACATTCGGTCTCAAAGGCTGGAGCGTCCCTACAATCCTATTCCTGGGCACCAACAGCATTCCTCTGCCCCCCACAGAGGCTGCTCCAATCCACCTCCCCTGCTGGTCACCTGTCTCTCTTGCCCCAGGCCAACCCCTGCCCATCACAGGCAGGATGCTTCTGGTGCCAGATACAGGTCTTCCAGGTGCCATCCTTCATTCGCCAGACATTTAATGAGCACCCACTATGTACTAACATATTTCATACATCAAGAACATTACCAAGGAGCAACACTGTAGTTTTCATCCTAAGGGAGTGCAAAGAGATGCAAATTTCACATCCAATGACCATGGTCCATACACCGTCCTAGTGTAGAGTCTGACAGGAAAGCTTGCTCCCCATGTTTTCATACATTACCACAGGATCACCTACTTTCTTCCCATGTGCTCCACTGATAGACTCGGAGTCTAGGAATCACAGCTGCCGTGTGACACAGCCATGGGAAAGGGGAATTCTACCAGTTCTAGAGCAGAGGCCAAAAAGTGGTACAAGACAAGAATAATACAGATAGTAACACAAATAATTTATATACCTGTAGTGTTCAGGGTACTTCTTGCATGCCAGGCACTATATTTTATAACAGCCTGCCTACCGCACCTGTGGGACCAGTGGCAAGGACAGAACTTTATGTATGTTACTATTTTAAATATTTAATCCTTAGCACCCTGCATTTCATTCATGAGGAAACTCACATTTAGAAGAATTAACTTGCTCACTGTCCTTGAAGCTGTAATGAGTCCAATCTGAAGACTGCGCTATAATGTAGAAGTTCTCAAAGCTTTCCTGTAAAGGGCCAGATAGGCCTTTAGGTACTGGGGATCACAAAGTGATATCCCAAAGTACAGTGCTTTCACATGTGGACTGAAGAGGCAGCCTCGAGGTCTCTGAGCTTCCCCATCTCTGTCACTCAGTTGTCTCTTCTTTCCTGAAATGCAGGGAAGGGCTCTTCTGATCTCCTTTTATCTACATAAAGACCAGATCCACCAAAGAGAGGAACAATGGCTTTTAATCTTACAAACATTTCATTAACTGAGGAAGATTAAACTCATATTGCAGAGAAGAGACTAAACATCAAACACCACACCTAGTGCACAGAGAGCTCTGGGAGAGGCCGCTGGCTATACATTGGGCCTTTTCATCCCCCCGTGAGATCCCTGCTTTCCCAGGAAGCTGCCTTCACTTCCCTCCCCTCACAGAGAGATCTGAACTTCAGCCATCTGCCCTCTCAGACAGCCGGGCCTCAGGTGGCTCCTGTGCAGTGGATTTGTACACTTTTTCTCCTGTGAATCTGCTTATTGTCAGCTCTTTTCAGTAGATTTAACTACTCCAACCTTCAGGGGCAGAGGGAAGCCATTTTCATGCCTTCTGGGCTATGTTCTGTCTCTGCAATAGAAAGGCGGCCATCAAGGGAAGGGAACTGAGCAAGCATGTCTGTGGTCCAACACAGTTTATTCTTAGAAAATGAGACAGTGGGCCAGACTTGGGTTCCAGGCCAAGCTTAGTTTGTGGACTTCCACTATTGGTAAAATAGACGAGAACACCATTCTTTTCCCTCTGCTCGGTGACTGCATCCAGTAACAGTATGGTTTTTGGTTTTTTCAAAAGTCCTTGCATTAACATATGCTTCGAAGCATATTAGACCATATAAATTAATCTCTACTTAGGTTTGCAAATTTTTTGGAGAGTACTGTATGCCAGGTTTAAATTCCTTAAAACCTGACACAAATGTCACAGAGCTCAAGATGCTTCTCCACTGAGAAACTTCATCACTCAACATCTGCCTTTTAGGACCTGAAATACTTTACTCCTAGCTCTTCTTGATTTGATGGTTCACGTTGAGAAGTCTGTCGTGATTCTGACAGGCTCCCCTTCATGCAGTTCTCAGCAGTAGGAGGAGACAGGTGTTATCCTCATTGTTAGGGGCATGACAAGGACTATCACCAACAGCTGGAAATCATGCAAATGAGAGGTTTTCCTGCTTGCTTGGGTGATGAGGCCAGAGTCCTGCTTGCTTGGATTAGTCTGGTGAGGGACTCTGCGCTGTTGACCATGGACACCCCATGCCCAGGGCACACAGTGGCCTAGCTCACCACAGATCCTGGACAAAACCATAACCTGGAGGGCCCAACGTGAGTGACTCAGCTCAGCATTAGCATGGCTTTTCAAAGTACTCTTGAGAAACGGCAACATTTCCACATAAGCAGACATTTCCTCTCCCTCCTTCTTCCAACAGCTGGAAATCATGCAAATGAGAGGTTTTCCTGCTTGCTTGGGTGATGAGGCCAGAGTCCTGCTTGATTGGCTTAGTCTGGTGAGGGACACTTTGTGCTATTGACCATGGACACCCCATGCCCAGGAGGGCTGTGGAGAAGAAAGAAGAACTCACAGAGAGCAGAGAATCCAGAAGAGTCCAGAGACTGCCGTTCCACTGGCACTTGTGGCTTCTGTGGCCAAAGATGAGTTAGTCTTATTCATTCACTCTAAAAGGGGTTGATGTTGCCTACCACACTGCCACAAAGTTGTGTCTTGCATAAATGAACAAAAGTCTACAAAGGTGTTCTCTCATCGGAAGGTGAAGCTCAGGGCGCAGGGTTTTTCAAGTGCAGTGGTCTGTGGTCAAGCGCACTTCCGGGAGAGATGTGTTAGCCACACATCAATATGGTTTGTAAGTAGGTCTATAAATATGCCTAAAGCAAAGTTGGCTTTTAAAAGTCCAGACTGATCCCAAATACCTAATCTACAGGACAATTATAAACATTTTAAGAACATTCACCAAAAACACCCCGAAAACTGCAAAATGACTTGCACGCTATTCCTTGCCTCAGCAAGGTTTGATTCACATATTGTGCTTATGGCATAAATCCTGCCTAAAGTACGTGAGACACACATAATTGTGTAGTTCAGTCCCTGCGCAGTCCGTACCATGGACACGGGCAGCTACTCAGACAACGCGACACCCACGTCACATTCCCCTCCATGCTGTGCAATGTGTGTCTCTACGACAGGGAAGAGATTGCAAAGTGTAATTTCTTTGGTGATGCGGCACGGTGACACATACTTGTGGTCCCAACATTCAGGAGGCAGAGGCAGGGTGACTTCCATGAATCTGGTACAAGCCTGGGCTAGGTGGTGAATTCGAATCAGCTTGAAACTAATTACATATTGAGACCCTGGCTCAGAAACAACAACAACTATTTCATTGATGAATTCATGCACAGTAAAGAAGCTTTAGCACTCAACGTTGAGAAGAAATAAAATATGTAGTGTTTGGAAGTTCAGGCCAGCAACCGAAGGATAGAACGGTAACTCACTCATTTCTGTTTCCTGAGACTCGCAGCTCCCAGGGCTGCCTCACAAGTGTGGTGAAAGAGGGCCAAGAAGGGGTCAGAAACTGACTTGGAGACAGGGAGGCTTATATGGGTCAACCGAGCTGGGCTGGGCCCATGGCTGTTTATCACCAGGGAACTGTCTTTGCATAGCGCTCACTCCCGCCTTGCCTGGCTTACATACTCTGGACTAAGTTCTCCACGTGTGGCTCCGCTTGCCCAAGGCCAAGTGTCTAAAGCTACCTCTAAAAGAAAAGCCAAAAACACTTTCTCTAGCTTTCTGCAGCACGCTCATCTGTAGACCCGAAAACGGCTGTTTTCTTCCTCACAGACCA